CCGATTTAAAAAAACGTATTGCTATATCACCGTTAAACCCTAAGGACGGCTGAGTTCGAATTTCGAGAAAATCGGCCCAAAACTGACAGACAAAATGTCCGCCCTTCGTTCTCAAATAGCGTAAAAATATGGTATATCAAGGTTGTGGGCCCTATAGAGGTCACAATTTTTATCCGATTTTGTTGAAACTTGAAATGTAAGTTTATAACCCAAAGATCTTAGTTCCTTTCGATATTTGCGCATATCGGACTGTAACTTCCTTAATTATGGCCCCTGATTGTACGATACTAAAACAAACACTATTATCAATTATTAAAACAACAATTAAAAACAACACTTTATTATTGATTCGAGTAGTCATATTAATACAAACACAAATATAAACGTATTAAAACAACACTTTATTATTGGTCCGGGTGGTCCTTTTGTATGGTCCGAGTAGTCTTTTTTGTTTCGTCCGAGTGGTCTATTAGTTGGTCCATGTGGTCATGCATTCGTACAAAAGAATGGAATCATTCAGAAAGTGTAGGCTACTCAAAATAACATTGTATAAATATATGACATGCGCATGTAATGTACACGTGTGTGAAATGGCTTTATTCAATATCCGCTTCCACCGAAATGAATTGGGCGACATTTAAAGTAGATGTATATTGTCACAGCAGAGATTTGTCGCCGATTAACACAGACAGACTAAGAATATAGTCACAAAAATAGCGCGTTTCTGACCACGTGACTTACCGTTAAGCGCCCCGTGGAGTGGATCGAGTGCTCTATGAATGATTGATTTAGATTAACTGAAGCTGCAAGCTCATCGTATGACGTATATAATTTAAAGTTTGGATTTTATAGCAGCCAATAATTGATGGATTACATCTAAGTTATAAACGAAGATGTAATGATACGTTGTAAAAAAATTGTAAGTTGTTCATTGTGGCATACATTTTGGCCGACGTTATATGCATGTACAGTGCGTTAGAAAAAAATCCTAACCGATACAGAATGCTGGTAAATGTTTTCCCGAGATTACCGAACTCATTTTGTTGTTATTCAAACCGGCCTGTACATTATACATGTACACGTTTTCACGGCAGCATTACTATATTACAACTCCTTCAATATAAACATTTCGTTAAAATCTGAACAACGCATGTGAAATTGGATGTTCGGCAACAGAATTGAATACCTGGCGTAATTGGACACCTTGACTAATTTTAATCACAACTTGGGAAATTGAACGGTCCAACTAATTATTGAACAGTCGTGAAAATTAAGCGGGACGCTTACAATTACACGCGTGTCGACAAACTAAACACTAGTTAATTAACGCTTGGTAATCAAAATTACACGTTGAGATTTAAGTTGTATACAAGGACAAATTGAATGCTATTAGGCCAAATTCAATGATATTTATGAATAGTTCTACATAGATTAGATAATAACGCTATTTACCCGAGATTCCATGGTACCAGTCAAATAGTGTATAGAGGTCACAATTTTTATCCGATTTTGTTGAAACTTGAAATGTAAGTTTATAACCCAAAGATCTTGGTTCCTTTCGATATTCGCGCATATCGAATTGTAATTTCCTGAATTATGGCCCTTGATTGTAGGAAAAATCACTTTCGTTTTAGCTTGTTCTCTATCCATCTCTCGAAAATGTGGGCGTATCCTGCCTGGCAGCCGCTGGTTGGGGCCTTTTTGGGACATTAATAAAATATGAAGGAATGGACATACACAAGTGAAATTATGGGAATATGTCAAAAAGTTTGTGAATTTTTAAAATTACAAATTTCCAATCCGCTATATATTATCAATTTTGGTTTTTGACCAGGGTTCTTAATCCATGGGTAGGATTAACGGATAGTCGTCTTTTCAACAACAAACATGTTGGTTTATTCATACTCTTTTCACGACAGTAATTGCATAATGTATTTGGGATAATAATAGCTGAAACTCCGAATTAAAAGGACCTTTATAATTGCATACTTGTATCCATACATCGCTATAATATCGACATTTATAGTCATTATTATTTCAGCAACTTGCATTGCATATTCCTACTTTTGCTTTCATCCAACTAAACGGAAGTTATAAATTAGTAAAAACTACAAGTACATACAAATGTTTTTTTTTAAATTATATTAATCGTAAGCACATGTTAATATATATAAAAATAAAAAAGTATATAAATAACAAAGTAGCAAAAATCAGTTTCCGTGTAGTCGGAACTCGGAAATATGCTGTACGTACGAAAGGTCACGTGGCCAATTGTCGTGATTCAGGTTAGTTTATTTTTAGTTTTACCAGTATACGCAGCAGGACTCGTTCAGATATCTGAGAGGATCTCTTCCTCAATTTCACTGAATATTAAAGAAATAAATTCACCACAATAATTAAAATCATGATATAATTTTTTTGTCATTTCATGTCCCGTTCTGTCAAATCGTTCAATTATTGTTCATAATCATAATTTTCGATGGAAATACGCATTTCGGATTAACGCCCGGTTTGAAATAATTTCTATAGATTTAGGAATTAAACTCTTTGTTCTGCCATCGTTTTTCTTTGCTACGTAGGTATGATCGTCAGATTAATTATTTTATTGCCAATAATTTGGTTGACCTATATTGGACGTGGGAGGATCTCCGGCTTTTGGAATTTCCATTGACGACGTGCATGCGTGAAGTTCAAGTCAACGCCGCCATTTCTATCTTCAGTTAAATCTCATTTACGTTTCCTGGTGTCATTCTGCGAGGTGTTCAAGTACTAGGCATTATTACCTCAATTAAGTTGTTTATTTATGAAATAAGTCGACGGTATTCATTGTAATGATTGACTCTTTGATGGGTTTCTTAATCGACGAGTAATAATTAACTCTTTGTAATCGGCCGAAAGTAGATTGATTTATGATAGTGGCCGGTTCATTGTTTAACCAATTAGCCTGATAATTAATTCTTTGTAAATCGGACGAAAGTAGATTGATTTGTGATACCTTAGTGGCCGGTTCATTGTTTTACCAATCGGCTAGATTAAAGATCAATCGGCTAAAGCCAACAAAAAACAGCCGATTAAGATCCCTGTTTTTGACCATTTTCAATGCTATTTACCATAACCCAAAAGGTCATCACCACACTTTAATGTAAGCAGTTTAAAATATTTGAAACCCATGTAATATCAAATGATATGGATTGTGTAAGTTTGAGAAAAATATGAAGAGTTTCGGTTGTTACCATAGCAACCACAGTTATTTTTTTCCAAAAAGCATTATTTTCCAATAATTATGACACCAATACCATTAGTGAAATGAAGAAGCCTATTGAATTTTAGCAATTTCTGTTTATTACATCTAGAGTTATGACCCTTGTTTCACTTTACTGCACCAATCTTTGTGAAATTTATATGCATGATTTCAATTAGTGAAACGAAGAAGTTTATTGAATTTCAGCAATTTCCGTTTATTACGTCTAGAATTATGTCCCTTGTTTCACTTTATTGAACCTTGTGAACTCTATTAACGCCAAAAGTTATCAACCAATCTTTGTGAAATTTATATGCATGATTTTAATTAGTGAAACAAAGAAGTTTATTGAATTTCAGCAATTTCCGTTTATTACGTCTAGAATTATGTCCCTTGTTTCACTTTATTGAACCTTGTGAACGCTCCAACGCCAAAAGTTTTCACCCAATCTTTGTGAAATTTATATGCATTATTTAGATTACTGAAACGAAGAAGCCTATTGAATTTCAGCAATTTTCATTTATTATGTCTAGAGTTATGGCCCTTGTTTCACTTTATTGATCCTTGTGAACACTCTAATGTCAAAAGTTATCATTCGATCTTTCTGAAAATTATATGCATTATTTAAATTCGTGAGTCGAAAAAGCCTATTGAATTTCAGCAATTTCCGTTTATTACGTCTAGAGTTATGGCCCTTGTTTCACTTTATTAAACCTTGTGAACACTCCAACGCCAAAAGTTATCACCCAATCTTTGTGAAATTGATATGCATTATTTAGATTACTGAAACAAAGAATCCCATTGAATTTCAGCAATTTCCGTTTAGTACGTCTAGAGTTATGGCCCTTGTTTCACTTTATTGATCCTTGTGAACGCTCTAATGCCAAAAGTTATCACCTGACCTTTGTGAAATTTATATGCATGATTTAAATTAGTGAAACGAAAAAGCCTATTGAATTTCAGCAATTTTCAATAATTACTTCTAGAGTTATTGCCCTTGTTTCACTTTGTTCAACCTTGTTAATGCTCGAATTATGAAAGTTATCATCCGATATGTATGAAATTTATATGCATCATTTGAATTTGTGAAACAGGTCTATTGAATTTCAGCAATTTAGTCAATAATTTCTAGAGTTGTGAACGTTTAAATGACAAAAGGGATCATGTGATCTGTATGAAATTTATATGCATTATTTAAATTAGTAAAACGAAAAAGCCTGTCAAATTTCAACAATTTCTGTAGATTACTTCCCGAGTTGAGACCCTTGTTTCATTTTGTAGAACCTTGTAAACCCTCAAACGACAAAATTTATAATCTGATCTGCATGGAATTGTCTTGTAAAGGCCCCCAATTACCTACAAAAGAATAGATATGTGACAACCCTTGTCGGCCGCTTGGACTATTTAGCTGCTGTGGGCGTATGTTTTGTTGCCTGACAACCTATCTTTTGTTAATATTTTGTCTGTAAATTTTGCCTAGCCTTCTTTGCCTCTTGTCATATTACAGCCATTTTATATTTCATTCTCTTCATTATAAAAAGTACCATATCAATCAAAGCAGGAATGTGGACGTATATTGCAGTGTTAGCGATGTTCTCGTTCTTTGCCTCAAACACATTAATATTTAGGATGCTGTACCAGTGTTCTTTATAATTTATCTTTCACCATTTCACATCGATATAATTTAATTTATTTAAATCTCATTATTTACAGATAATATTCATCCATTGTATTTGTTTGTTGTTTATTATTTTACCAGGTAAATCAAGTGATAAAGACTCTGGTGCAGAACTTGTACCTGAGGATGAAAAGTTAGCTGATTTAGCTAAGCCAAGATTAGGGGATATTGTAAAGATGACAGTACACATTACAGAAAGTGAGGAATTTAAGGTGAGTTTATTCTCGAATAAACTATGTCTCCGTTTATTCGAGAGATACTGAAAGCGAAACATAAGTGATAAGAATAGTTCAGAATGTTGAAAAATAGTTTATCATCTTTATAAAAAAATTATTTTTTAAAATCATTGATCAAAAGAGGCATTGCAGACCGCATGCACGTATTATCAGGCCTTGTTATTCGGAAAACTTGTGCAGATTTCGTGCCACTTAACCATACCCTGAAATAAGCGGCCGGATACGGACAATGTCCGGTCGAATTGACCCCTTTTCATCGATAGAATTGCCTTTCGTCCGGACATGATTGTCCAACCGAGTTTTTGTAAAACAAATTAAGTCAAAAATAATAATTTCCATATTTGAGTCGATTGTTAAATATTAAGACTCGAAAATCCAGACCCCAAAACGATGTATAAGTCATGTATTGGCAATAATATCATCGACCCGAGTCATAGCGAAAACCTCCATCCATTTATATGGTAAGTCAAAGCAGTATGGGTCATTCCATACCAACTGGACCAATGGTGGGAACATGCCCCCCCCCCTCCAAAAACATTATAAAAAATATATGTTGTAGTATATGGCCTTAACCTAACAAATTAGAAGTTTTACCTCTCTAGGTCAAAAACTCGCTGAGATGTGGCCATTTGAAATTAGGATGCTGAAACAGACCATAAATTCAGTAATTTTTATACGTCCGTCCATCTGTCGTTCCGTCTGTCCATCGTCCACAATTTCTTGTGAATGCTCTAACGCCAAAAGTTATCATCCAATTGTTTTAAAATTGATATATGTTGTTTACATTAGTGAGATGAAGAAGCCTATTTAATTTCAATAATTTCCGTTTATTACTTTTAGAGTTATGGCCCTTGTTTCACTTTGTTGAACCTTGTGAATGCTCTAATGTCAAAAGTTAACATACGATCTTTGTGAAATTTATATACATTATTTAGGTTACTGAAACGAAGAAGCCTATTGAATTTCAGCAATTTCCGTTTATTACGTCTAGAGTTATGGCCCTTGTTTCACTTTATTGATCCTTGTGAACACTCTAACACCAAAAGTTATCATTCGATCTTTCTGAAAATTATATGCATTATTTGAATTAGTGAGACGAAGAATACTATTGAATTTAAGCAATTTCTGTTTATTACGTCTAGAGTTATGGCCCTTGTTTCACTTTATTGAACCTTGTGAACGCTCTAACTCCAAAAGTTATCATCCGATCTTTCTGAAAATTATATGCATTATTTAAATTAGTGAATCGAAAAAGCCTATTGAATTTCAGTAATTTCCGTTTATTACGTCTAGAGTTATGGCCCTTGTTTCACTTTATTAAACCTTGTGAACACTCCAACGCCAAAAGTTATCACCCAATCTTTGTGAAATTTACATGCATTATTTAAATTCGTGAGTCGAAAAAGCCTATTGAATTTCAGCAATTTCCGTTTATTACGTCTAGAGTTATGGCCCTTGTTTCACTTTATTGAACCTTGTGAACGCTCCAACACCAAAAGTTATCATTCGATCTTTGTGAAATTTATATGCATTATTTAGATTATTGAAATGGAGAAGCCTATTGAATTTCAGCAATTTCCGTTTATTATGTGTAAGAGTTATGGCCCTTGTTTCACTTTATTGGTCCTTGTGAATGCTCTAACGCAAAAAGTTATCACCTGATCTTTGTGAAATTTATATACATGATTTAAATTAGTGAAACGAAAAAGCCTATTGAATTTAGGTGGGTTGGATGGCTGAATGGTTAGCGTGAGCGTGCTGTATCATAAAGTCTGTCATTGAGTCGACTGGCGTGGTTTCGAATCCCCGGTTGTACGTGACAAGGAGTAGGGTCGCCTGTCCAACCTCGTGGGTTTTCTCCGGGTCCTCCGGTTTCCTCCCACTGCTAAAGACCCCTACGCGCAAGCGAATTATGTAAATAAAATTAAACCATATGTTAGTCCCGAAATGACCTAGTTTGTGTCGAGTGGACGTTAAACCCCAGTTCTCTCTCTCTCTCCTATTGAATTTCAGTAATTTACAATAATTACTTCTAGAGTTATTGCCTTTGTTTCACTTTGTTAAACCTTGTTAATGCACGATTGATGATAGTTATCATCCGATATGTATGAAATTTATATGCATCATTTAAATTTGTGAAACAGGTCTATTGAATTTCAGCAATTTCCGTCAATAATTTCTAGAGTTATGGCGATTGTGAACGTTTGAATGACAAAAGTCATCATGTGATCTGTATGACATTTATATGCATTATTTAAATTAGTAAAACGAAAAAGCCTGTCAAATTTCAACAATTTCTGTAGATTACTTCAGAGTTGAGACCCTTGTTTCAGTTTGTAGAACCTTGTAAACCCTCAAACGACAAAATTTGTAATCTGATCTGTATGGAACTGTCTTGTTAATGCCCCCAATTACCTACAAAGGAATAAATATGCGACAACCCTTGACGACCACTCGGACGATTTAGCTGCTGTGGGCGTATGTTTTGTTGCCTGGCAACCTATCTTTTTTTAGGTTTTCAGGTGCTTTAAACTCAAATTTCTAATAGGATGATTAGAACTCTCTAACTTTGTAAACTAGAGTAAGACAAGTTTTAATGTACAATGTAGATGACACACTTAGCATCGCTCTCAATGTGCGACAAATACTTTTCGCGTCACCAGTAGTGATGTGCGGTTTTTATATTGCCGTCCCGTCCGTCCGTCCATCGTCCACAATTTCTTGTGAACGCTCCAACGCCAAAAGTTATCATCCAGTTGTTTTAAAATTGATATATGTTGTTTACATTAGTGAGATAAAGAAGCCTATTGAATTTCAATAATTTCCTTTTTATACGCCCACATGGAAATGTGGTCAGATATTGCCGTCGCCCCGGTCCGTCTTTCCATCGTCCACAATTTCTTGTGAACACTCTACAGACTACATTTATCAACCAATTGTTTTGAAATTGATATATGTTGTTTGCATTAGTGAGATGAAGAAGCCTATTTAATTTCAATAACTTCCGTTAATTTCTTCTGAAGTTATGGCCTTGTTTCACTTTGTTGCACCTTGTGAACGCTCTAACGACTAAGGTTATCAACCGATCTGTATGAAATTAATATGCATTATTTAAATTAGTAAAACAAAGAAGCCTATTGAATTTCAGCAATTTCTGTTGATTACATCTAGAGTTATGGCCCTTGTTTCACTTTGTTGAATCTCGTGAACGCTCTAATGACAAAAGTTATCAACCAATCTGTATGAAATTGATATGCATCATTTAAATTAGTGAAATGAAGACGCCTATTGAATGTCAGCAATTTCCGTTAATTTCTTCTGGAGTTATGGCGCTTGTTTCACTTTTTTGCACCTTGTGAACGACAAAAGTTATCAACCGATCTGTATGAAATTTATATGCATCATTTAAATTAGTAAAACAAAGAAGCCTATTGAATTTCAGCAATTTCTGTATATTACATCTAGATTTATAGCCCTTGTTTCACTTTGTTGAATCTCGTGAACGCTCTAATTAGGGCTGGACGATATTTTCGGTAATTCGATAAATCGTGATATTAAAATTTGAATTCTGATATTTTATAAACCACCTAAAAAATCGCGGTATAATGATATATCGTATTGTGTGTTTTTCTATCAATATACTGGTATTTTACACGATATAATCACAATATTATGTGCTGCATTTGGGATGGGATTGACATCGAACAATTTACGACATTACGTCACGATCGATGACTCCGTACTTGTCACTTGTTAATTGACAAGGCCTACTAAATCATGACTAGTCTAGTAGTTTTCTCGATTATTAAACTTGATAGATAAATTCATAATTGAAAAATTATTATTTAATTTATAGAGGCATTACCCTCTTGCCGTTGGAATTTGTCATTATAATGTCAAACCCGTCGCTAATGCTGTGCAACACTCGAATAACCAGCCAAGTAAGTCATGGCGTAATATCTTCTCTTCAAGGTCTTCGGTCGATTTATCATTGGCACTGTTGGGAAACAGTTGTTATCATTTAATGTACTGTATGATGCCGTTTGTTAGTTAACTATCATTTTGTGTGTGTGTTTAAGTGGGGGGGGGGGAGCAATTTTTAAACTGAAGCCGATTTAAATAAAAGTGAAATGTTATTTGTAAATAAAACTAAATTGCGTCTGGATATTCAACATTTATGGCTCTACTTTGGTTTTGATGAGAACGACGAAGCGCAAACGAAAGTTTTATGTAGATTTTGCAAGCGTCGTGTAGATGCAAAAGGCGGCAACACCAGCAACTTGTACGTTCATTTAAAAATACATCACCCAATTAAAAATACATCACCCAATTGAATATGCCGAACTTCAAGAGAGAATTAAAACCAACGAAAGACACTTACATAACCAAGGCATTCCTTCTACATCAAAACAGCAAAATACATCAGATACTGTTAGCAATCAGACAACCCACCAAAATGCAATACTGAACAGTATGAGCTATGAAAAATCGTCAAAAAGATGGGTTACTCTAACGAATGCTGTCACTCAATTTTTAGCCAAAGATATGCTTCCTTTCTACACTGTAGAAAAAGAAGGCTTTAATAGAATGTTAAAAGCTTTTGACAGTCGATATAATCTGCCAGGAGGAAAGTATTTTTCAAGTGCTATTCCTAAACTTTATCAGACAGTGCATGACCAAATATTAGAAGAAGTTTCAATGGCAAGTTTTTATGCAGGGACAACTGATCTATGGTCAAGTAAGGTAATGGAACCCTACATGAGGTACACGATTCACTATATTGACCAAGACTGAAATTTAATTACCCGACACCTCCAAACTATTTTTTCTTCCCGTCGATCATACAGGAGAAAATATTGCTCTTGGTCTGAAAGATACGCTAGACTCATGGGAACTGGACGAAGATAAGCAAATTTGTTTGACTACAGACAATGGTTCAAATATTGTGAAGGCCTGTGAACTGAACGACTGGAATCGCTTACAATGTTTCGGACACAGGCTACATTTAGCCGTCAATTGTGGCTTGAAAGATGACAGGGTAGACAGGGCCATAAAAGTTTGTAAGCGTGTTGTTAGTGCCTTTTCCTACAGTTCGAAGAAAAAACGTCAACTGAAAAAAGTGCAAACAGATATAGACCTTCCTACGCATTCGCTTATAACATCCTGCGACACTAGATGGGGTTCAACACAAAAAATGATTAAACGATTCCTTGAACAAGAAAATGCAATAAAACAGGTCCTTTTATCAGACAGAAAGAGCCTACAACCTTCATGGCAGGATTTGGATGTCCTTGAAGCGGTAAATAAAGCTGTGGAACCAATCATATATTTCACGGATGCCCTGAGTGGGGAAAATCATGTAAACATATCAATGGTGATGCCTGTACTACAGTTATTAAATGATGATATTTTGGGCCTAAGCCAGATGATGTGGCTTTAACAATTGAAATAAAATCCAAGATATTAAATTATCTTAACGACAAGTATTCAGATGAAAAATCGACTACCAGGTCTTTATTGAACATAGCTTCTTTTTTGGATCCCCGGTTCAAAAATAAGTTTTTGTCTTCTGCGGAAGACGAATCTACTCAAATTAAAATAAGCAGAGAATTAATTGATAACACCGACTCTGATATTGAACTGGGTGTATGTGACACTTCCTCAAGTGAATTACCTCCCTCTAAGAAAATCTGCCTCAGTACATTATTTAAAAGACACGATGACAATTTAAACAATGATATTCTACTCACAGAGTCAGAACTTATATCAAACGAGTTAAATCGCTATTTTGCTTTACCAAAAACTGACTATGACTATGAGTCTAATCCATTAGAATGGTGGAAACAAAATTGTTTACAATTTCCTAAAATGTCTCACCTTGTGAAAAAATATCTTTGCATACCTGCTACCAGTTGCCCTTCCGAGCGCTTGTTTAGCACTAGTGGGAACATTGTTTCTTGTAAGAGAACTTATTTAAATCCAGACAAAGTAAACCAACTTGTCTTTTTGGCAAGAAATTTGCAACTTTAAAATGTTAAAAAATGACCCTTGTCAAGTGCCATCTATTACTAGTCAACAACTTTTAAGTTAATTATATATTTGTTTTGATATGATATTCTTGTGAACCAGTAAAGGTTTTATAAATATAATTTTATTTCATTTAAAATTAAAGTTTTAAGTTTGTAAAATTGTATTCATTTATAATTAATGAGAATTAAGCGGAGAATTTATTGATATTACCGACTCTGATATTGAACTGGGTGTATGTGACACTTCCTCAAGTGAATTACCTCCCTCTAAGAAAATGTGCCTTGGTACATTATTTGAAAAACATGATGACAATTTAAACAATGATATTCACAGAGTCAGAACTCAGAGTCAGAACTTATATCAAACGAGTTAAATCGCTATTTAGCTTTACCAAAAGCTGACTATGAGTCTAATCCATTAGAATGGTGGAAACAAAATTGTTTACAATTTCGTAAAATGTCTCGCCTTGCGAAAAAATATATTTGCATACCTGCTACCAGTTGCCCCTCCGAGTGCTTGTTTAACACTAGTGGGAACATTGTTTGTAAGAGAACTTGTTTAAATCCAGACAAAGTAAACCAACTTGTCTTTTTGGCCAGAAATTTGCAACTTTAAAATGTTAAAAAATGACCCTTGTCAAGTGTCATCTATTACTCGTCAACAACTTTTAGGTTAATTATATATTTGTTTTGATATGATATTCTTGTGAACCAGTAAAGTTTTTATAAATATAGGATTATTTCATTTAAAATTAATGTTTTAAGTTTGTAAAATTGTATTCATTTATAATTAATGTTTTTTTGTTTGTAAAATAGTATTCATTTAATTGAGTAGTAAATGAAGGTTTCCACTTGTCTGTTATATATTTCACACAGTAAACCAGTTTATTATGTTTTATAAGTTTTTACTTATTGAAAATGTTTGGAGTTAAATTCAGCTTTAACTACTAAATGAAAGGTATCCAAAATTGTTGTCTTTAAATATAGTATCAACTTTGGTACTTCTTAACTAATATTTATACCAAAGATATGGTACAGTTTTTGTGATATTTTTGTTTTTAATTTATAAAGATATATTTAATGAAAATACATTTTTACATGAAAGATAAGTGACTTTGTCTTATTGAATTTTTAATATTAAATTGAAAGGGTGTTAGTGTAAAGTAAAATTGTGCAGAACTTAAGGGGTGGCGGGCAGCAATGTAATACTAAACTTGATGCTCAAAGGCTAAAGGTTTAATCTCAATCAACACAATGCACACCCCACCCCTCCCACCATAGTTGCTTTATTCTGATACAATTTTACAAACCTACACAGAATATGACTAATATGCCAGAGAATACCATAGGAAACTATACTCTAACACGGTTCTAGGACATCTCCCCCACCCCCTCCTCATTTGCCTAGCCAAAACCCTAACCCTTGAACTTAATTCTCGGTCTGTGCTTTTGAAACAGGGATAATGTACCCTAAGGGGAGATGGGGGAGGGAATGACCTGTTTTTAACACTTATATAATCACATCTTTTATAATAAAACTAAAATATCAGGATATTGTGATATATCGCAATATATCGTTAGCTTTTTATAATAAAACTAAAATATCGCGATATAGTGATATATTGTCGTTTTTTGGGGAAATATCGCGATATATGTCATTTTACCAATATCGTCCAGCTCTAATGACAACAGTTATCATCCGATCTGTTTGAAATTGATATGCATCATTTAAATTAGTGAAATGAAGAAGCCTATTGAATTTCAGCAATTTCCATTAATCACGCCGTGAGTTATGGCCCTTGTTTCACTTTGTTGTACCTTGTAAATGCTCTTACAACAAAAATTATTATCCAATCTGTATGAAATTTATATGCATCATTTAAATTAGTAAAACAAAGAAGCCTATTGAATTTCAGCAATATTCGTTAATTACATCTAGAGTTATGGCCCTTGTTTCACTTTGTTGAATGTTGTCAATGCTCTAATGACAACAGTTATCATCCGATCTGTTTGAAATTGATATGCATCATTTAAATCAGTGAAATGAAGAAGCCTATTGAATTTCAGCAATTTCCGTTAATCATGCCGTGAGTTATGGCCCTTGTTTCACTTTGTTGTACCTAGTGAAATGAAGAAGCCTATTGAATTTCAGCAATTTCCGTTAATCACGCCGTGAGTTATGGCCCTTGTTTCACTTTGTTGTACCTTGTAAATGCTCTAACGACAAAAGTTATTGTCCGATCTGTATGAAATTTATATGTATCATTTAAATTAGTAAAACGAACAAGCCTATTGAGTTTCAGTTATCACCTAAATTAGTGAAATGAAGACGAACAAGCCTATTGAATGTCAGCAATTTCCGTCAATTACGTCTAGAGTTATGGCCCTTGATTTACTTTGTTGAACTTTGTGAAATTATATGCATTATTTGAATTAGTAAAATTTGAACAATTTCTGTAGATTGCTTCCAGAGTTATGGCCCTTGTTTTCGTTTTTAGAACCTTGTGTACCTTCAAACAACGAAAATTATAATGTCATGTGTATGAAATTGTCTATTAAATTCTCCTAATTACCTACAAAAGAATAAATATGTGACAACCCCTGTCGGACGATTTAGCTGCTGTGGGCGTATGTTTTGTTGCCTGGCAACCTATCTTTATAATGTCTAGAGTTATGGCCCTTGTTTCACTTTGTTGAACCTCTTGAACACTCTAATTCCAAAAGTTAACATCCGATCTTTGTGAAATTTATACGCAATATTTAAATTAGGGAAACGAAGAATCCTATTGAATTTCAGCAATTTCCCTTTATTACTTCTAGAGTTATGGCCCTTGTTTCACTTTGTTTAACCTTGTGAACGCTCTAATCTCAAAAGTTATCATCCTATCTTTCTGAAATTTATATGCATTATTTAAATTAGTGAAACGAAGAAGCCTATTGAATTTCAGCAATTTCTGTGTATTACGTCTTAGAGTTATGGCCCTTATTTCACTTTATTGAACCTTGTGAACCCTTTAACGCCAAAAGTTATCATCCAATCTTTCTGAAATTTATATGCATTATTTAAATAAGTGAAGCGAAGAAGCTTATTGAATTTCAGCAATTTCTGTTTATTACGTCTTGAGTTATGGCCCTTTCAATACGGTAGTGAAATCTTCATTAAAGAAATAGACTTGATAATCAAGTCTGCTATATTAAATCACTAGTGTTAGAAAAAAATGGGGGGAAAGTCCACCCATTTTACCTTTCTGGAATTATATTTTTACCAGTAGTTATGGGAATTTTCAGCCCTGGTTTTTCAATATCAATGATATAAGTTTCTGAAATTTTTAGTGTGAGTTTATTGGGATAGTTAGAATTATTTAAGATTTGTTGGGTGGGGGGGGGGACAAACTTCTGGAACAATTCTTTTACAAAGTTCCAAAAATTGAAATAAACCTTTATAATAGCTTGTACGACAAAGCTACTGAGTACTGATGTTTCATTTCCAGGCAACCTATCTTCAATCTTTGAACTGGAATTAAATCATTTTAAGGTTGCTATGAGTAAGCTACTGTTATTTATTCTTTCCAGAATGTTGTTGATAAACTGTTGAAAAAGGCTAATGTGTCTCTTGTAGTTGGAACTTCTTCATGGAGGGAACAGTTTGTAGAGGCAATTACAGTTAGTGCAGGTAAGGTGCAGTAAATTAATGCATTACAGTCAATGTTTTTCATCCAATTTTCATACACTCATGATGTAAATTGTAATCACACTTTCCGCCCTTCACATTTTTCAAAATAAAACAATATACATGTAACGGAACGAATCAATGAATCCTGGCATCCTGCACGTTGTATTAGGCTAGTCCAGCTTGACCAATTTACGCTACACTTCTGTTATGTTTGTCTCCATTTTCTAGTGACTACAAAGACTGTTGGTTACTTCCCCGGCTATAATGTCATTCAACCTAGGGACGATATCGATATTGGCATTTTTTTCAACGATATAGTTAAATATCGCGATATTTAATAATAATTTCACTTTGCTATTGAATAAATTAAATATAAATGCGTAAACAATAAAGTGGGGGACCCCTAGGGACTACATCTTATCGTTAAATGCCATCCGGTGCGAATGTTCTTAAAGTGTGAATCCATTTGAATTCATTGGCTTTCCTTACGGCATCGTTTTTGCCGTTATCTGGGTCAGTCTTAAAAAGCTCTATAATTTTAATCATAACATTTCTACTTGTATGTCTATCTAAGTTGAAGTGTAGTGCGACCGGCTTTGGCCTGTTGTGTATAATAGCTGCATAGTGTTCCTTTATTCGTTTTGAAAAGACACGTTTGCTTTCTCCTACGTACGTATTGTTTTTTGGAGGAGCATGTTAATAGGTAGACTATATTTCTACTTAAACTATTATAGCCCGTGCGGCAGGAATATTTCTTGCCAGTTTTACCACTAATAAAGTAGATATTTTAGTCTAATTTGTAGCAGATATCACAGTCCTCCTTGATACATTTTTCGAATAGATTTTGAAACGTGACTCCGCTGGTTCGCGGGTCCCGTGGTGGATAGATGAATCTTGCTTTCATCAGCGTATCCTTCAAATTAGGATTCCTCCTAAATGCCGTGATTGGTTTGATGTTTGAGATGGAACGGCACATGTCCGATCCGGTTAATAGATGCCATTTCTCTTTTATGAGCATGCTAACTTGAACAGCAGTTGGATTATAATCCGAGATAAAAACGAGCAACTTTTATTTTTTTTAAAATGGTAGCCGTAGTCAGGCTTAACAGGTCTTTTCTGGCTAGAGAATTTGCCCTGTTCTTATTTTCCGACACTACTTTGTGTGGGTGGCCTCTTTTATGATAAAAATTGATAAGATTTTGGCTATGGCTTTCATAGTCTATTTTTAAGCAACATACTGTTGTATGTAGTAAAGCCGGAGTTAATTCTCAGCCTAAACTGTCTCGGTATCATTTGTTTATCGAGGCATGCCTGGTGGTAGTCTATTTGAATACCCAGGCGGCTAATTTTGCTGCTCAAGTTTCGGAGTGTTTTGTACTCCGGTGTAACTACTAAGGGCAGAACACATGCCATTTCTGATTGGCGGACTTTGCTCCGGTTTGATTTTCGGAGCTGAAGTCTACCCTGAGTCTTTTTGGTACGGAGGGAACTTCCCCTATGGTGATGTTAGACTCGGAATCCAGGATCTCGTTTAAAATCACTGATTTTAAAAAAATTCATAGTTTGGAATAGGTTGCTCCGCAGTTGGGTTGAAGTAAAAAATCTGTAAATAGGCGAACAGCCTTCCCAGATTTCTCTCAGCTACTAGTTTCGTTCTTATTCGAACTCTTCAGGCTTAAATGAGGATGTGCGGTGGCCCTCTATATATAGTGTCAGTTGGCACCGGAGCACATGTGATGTCACAGATGGACCGGAGTCGATATTTGGCACCGGAGTCGATTATTCCGAAAATTGTGCAAAGATATTCAGCTAAGAATTTGCCGTCATGATTATGCTTATTTGCATTGACTCGAGGCTCCTAACCCTTTTGATCTCTAAGTTTAAAGTTTCCTAAACTAACGAGGACTTAAAAATAACTCTATTAGGTTATGGGCGTGTATGCACTAATTTTTTATTAGTCAATGCAAATAAGCATAATCATGACGGCAAATTCTTAGCAGAATATCTTTGCACACTTTTCGGAATAATCGACTCCGGTGCCCACCGACACTATATATAGAGGGCCACCGCACATCCTCATTTAAGAACGAAACTAGTAGCTGAGAGAAATCTGGGAAGGCTGTTCGCCTATTTACAGATTTTTTACTAAATATAAATGCATTAAAGCTGACTAAAGTGTGAGTAAGAATTGTTGGTAAGAATTGCTTTATTCATACACTTTAAACTTTGTTTTTTTTATAATATAGATTTATTAAAATGAACAAAACAACATCCTTTTTGGATAAAAATGTTTTAATGCTTTTATAAGTTTTAAACACAATAACAGGAGACATTACTTATGCCTGTACATTCCTTGTACACATAATTAAACATTAGAACATACCAACTTTTTACCAAACTTGGTGATAAATAAAAGGACAGTTCATCTACCATTATGACTGGTATTTCAAGTTACTGGAAAGAAATACCAGCATATTCACCTTATCGGGTTTTAATCATGTTCATTTAAAGGTTACGATGTTTCCTGCGGTGCTGAAAAGCCTTTCAGAAGACACACTAGTTGCAGGAATACACAAGTATTTTCTTGCAATTTTGTTAAACCTTGTTAATGCTCGATTGATGAAAGTTATCATCCGATATGTATGAAATTTATATGCATTATTTAAATTAGTAAAACGAAAAAGCCTGTCAAATTTCAACAATTTCTGTGGATTACTTCCAGAGTTGAGAACCTTGTTTCAGTTTGTAGAACCTTGTAAACCCTAAAACGACAGAATTTATAATCTGATTTGTATGGAACTGTCTTGTAAAGACCCCCAATTACCTACATAGGAATAAATATTCGACAACCCTTGTCGACCGCTCGGACGATTTAGCTGCTGTAGGCGTATGTTTTGTTGACTGGCAACCTATCTTTTAAAAATATGACAACCTATTTATAGCTGGTAATTAGCCCCGGTAGTGGGAAATTTCAGGCTTTTAGTAGACCTAAGCTTAACATGTCATTGTAGTAACAACTGACAATTTATTGTCGACTAAAAACAAAGTAAAAGTAACGCTTACACGATGCAGTGGAAAATGGCTGCGGACACTGCGCAAGTGTTTTCAACATTTAACGATTCTCAAAACATTAGTTTTATTATAGTTTATTGCCGTCGGCTAATTTCCACTACTGTATAGTGTATTTATTATATATTTTTATGATAATTTTTTTCGATATTTGTAGTTTTTGGCGATATTCGATAAACCACTATATCGACGATTTTTGGCCACATGATATCGTAGTTGGGTCTGAAAATACCATATCGCGATAAATGACTATCTCGAGAATATCGTACAGCCCTACTTCAACCCTAAGGTCAATTTCTCAGTTCATTTAAATCCCAAATCTAATATACAGTCCATTACCAAACAAACTATGTCAGGAAGATAATATTTCCCAGACGGTTTTTAACATGGGCAATAGAGAATGTACTTAACTACTTCATACATACCTATAGACAGGCTTTTAATACAATCTGTAGTATAATGCAAACTGTCTCTTGTAATCACCTTACACACGGCGCCTCACCGCGTTCACAACAAATTTGAACAATGGCTAACAAATGTCAATTGAAGTAAATCGGACAATATTAATGTCATAATAAATAAAAGAAGAATATTGTAGAAATATATTTATTCAAATAAATTGACATTTCTATCAGAAATAGTAATGTTATTTCTGTAATTTTTATACACCCACATTTTCATGTGGGCGTATTATACCGTCGCCCCTGGACATCTGTCCATCCACAATTTGTGGACACTCTACAGGTCACAATTTTTATCCGAATTTGACGAAACTTAAAATATAGGTCTATTTCCCATTTGAATATCTGTTACTTTCGATATTGGCATGTATCAGACCATAATTTAATGAATTATGGCCTCTGATTATATGTAAAAATCGTGTTTTTAGCATGTGGTACCTCTAGAGGTCACAATTTTTATCTGATTTAAAAAAATGTTTGAATATATCACCGTTACAGTGTAAAATATGTAATACCAAGGTTGTGGACTCTCTGGAAGTCATATTTTTTAATCATACATTATGCAGAGCTAAATCTGCCTATTATTATAGGTCTTTCTTAGGCCTGAAATGTTATATAAACTATTAATTAGACATTTATGAACAAAACAAGACCATAATCAACCCTCGATGGCATTGGATACTCAAGATTTTAACTATAGATTAGAACGGTTCGCCATTTAAAAATTTAATTTAAAAATGGGAAAGAGAGGCTAAGTCTCAAATATATCAGTGCTCTGGTTACCACAATGCACACATATTGTCAAAATACAAACAGTGATAACTTGGGTCAGAATAAAGAAATTAAAATGAAATTTTCATTTTGCATTATCTATTATCGAACTATTATAGTAAGAATGATCAGCTCTTTAATTATCTAAATCTTAACTAATGTATCTTGAACCAATTTTGATGAAACTTAATTTATATCTTTATGTCCCAAATATTTTAGTCCATTTCGATATTCATGCATTTCAGACCATAACTTCTTGGATTATGGCCCCTGATTGTATGAAAAATTGCTTTTTTTTTTTTTTAGCTTGTTCCCTATGTATCTCTTGCAAAATGTGAGCGTATCTTGGCCGGCAACCGCTGGTTCCAAAAATACGAGGAAACGAAACAAAAACAAAAAATGATAATAATCCGAACAAATTTCAATAATATTTTGACCAAATCTCTCAATGAAATTACATTGAGATTTCAATGAAATTTTACTGGAATTTCATTGAAATTTTACTGGAATTTCATTGAAATTTTAACGAAATCCCATTACTATTTCATTGTCTTTATTAACATGCATTCTGAAAAAAAACCGCAAACAATTACAATATTATTCTTATTTATCCCACAAATTTCTGTATTCAGTCCTCAAAAGTTTTTTTCTTCTAGTGTAGTTCTTTAATATTCTTCTTCATAATAAAAATATATGGCC